CGCATACTCAATTGACTTTCAACAAGTACCTGAAAGCGAACACTGTGGGACGGAATTATTCCAACATCCTGGTCCTCCTATTGCGTCTCCGTCAAGCAGTAAGCACCTTTTCTGAGCTATCTGTCCCCTTCCATACCCTTGTTGAGTCTTGAAACTTGTGTTGTGCTCCACAACCATGTCTCCATACTCTAGGTGTCGTACAAGGAGAGAAGTGCTGACTCCGCAATGGCTTAGTGCTGTCATCCTCATCTTATCAAAGATTTTGGGCAGGCATCAGGCTCTGCAGACGTCACTCCAGAGGACATGTTGAAGCTGGCGAAAGAACTTGCTCCTGAGGTCGTTGCCCGTATTAAGGAGCAATGTTCTTTGAATGAAGACAGTGCAATGGAGTGTCCGGTGTGCATGGACATGGCCGATAACCCTACAATATTCATACCATGCGGGCACAATACCTGTTCTGAGTGCTTTGCACGGATATCTGACCCGTCTCAGGCCAATGCTGATGGGAATGAAGGCCGCAACCCTGACATCAAGTGTCCTAATTGTCGCGGCAAAATCATACCAACGAAGGTCATCGACCACAACGCCTTCAAGCGCGTTTATCTGCCTCAGCTAATGATGGACGGACTATTGGACGATGATGATGACTCCCAGGCCGATGTTGAGACTACAGACGACAGTGAGAGTGACGATGATGAAGATGAAGAGGATGACGAGGTCGATTCGAAGGGCAATCTCTTCAACTTTGTCGTCCGAGACGACGACGATGAGGATTCTTTTGAGACAGAAGAAGGGGACGGTTCCTATAATGGTGGCGAAGCTTCGGGCAAGAAGCCTTCAACATCGAAGAAAGCAAAAAAACGAAACAAGGGCAAGGGCAAGGGCAAGGGCAAAGCCAAAGAGAAGAAGCCGCCGAAGCAGACTTTAGCAGAGCTCAAGAAAGCAGGAATGCGCAACATCAAGGCCCGCCGGCGATACCTAAAGCGACTGGACAAAGAGTGGATACCCAGCGGCAAGACTGAGAAGACGATGGAGGTAAGCACGTATTCGCCAGAACTGCGGTTGTTGGCCCATGCTAATCGTCAACAGATCCTCAGAGCTATCCAGGAGAGAAAGGATTCAGAGACAAATCAGTGTGAAAAGACCATCATCTTCTCGCAATTCACCTCTTTACTGGACCTACTGGAAGTACCCATTGCCAAGGCAGGATGGGGTTACCGCCGCTACGATGGCAGTATGACTGCCAATGCCAGGAACGACGCAGTCATCGATTTCACCGATCGAAAAGATTGCAAAATCATGTTGGTGTCTCTTAAGGCGGGAAATGCCGGGTTGAACCTCGTCGCCGCGTCCCAAGTGATCATCCTGGACCCGTTTTGGAACCCGTTCGTAGAAGAACAGGCAATTGATCGTGCTCATCGGATTGGACAGCAAAAGCCCGTCCAGGTTCACCGCGTGCTCGTTCCCAACACCGTTGAAGACCGAATCCTGGCGCTTCAGGAGAAGAAGCGCGAACTCATTGAGGCAGCACTTGACGAGAAGGCCAGTCAGAACGTTGGTCGCTTGGGCATTCGCGAGCTGGGATTCTTGTTCGACGTTGCCACCTAGTCATGCAGCAGTCCATGCACATGGCTTCCCTTTTTGTACATCCTTCTCAGCCTATGGCCATTCGATTCGCCTTGTCCCATTTACCGGCAGCGAACGATGGGCTGCATTTCACGGGCTGAGGACAATAGATTCCTCCGCAGCAATGCAATGCTTACAGCACAGCTCCTACTTGTACATGGCTTTTACATCATATCAAAGTTGCAACGATCGGTTTACTTCAGAGAGATACCCAGGGCTCACAGCATGAGCAGGGCAGCTTTGCTTTGAGGGCAGAATTTCCGATTTTCGATTTTCGATGACAGCTGAGGCAGAGAGCTCCTGCACGCACCGTATCATAGTATGATAGCCTCATGAGTAGGGTTTAATAATAACAATATTTACGAGTATGCGTAATAATGACAATGACAATGACAATGACAATGATAATGATAATGATAATGATAATGACAATGATAATGATAATGATAATGACAATATGACTGATAATAATAATAATAATATGGATTGGAGTGGCAATTGCTGGCTTTGACCCAGTCTTTACTCGTAACGGGCAACCTCGGCAAAAGCTGGCGCTGGGTAGATCTCTCGGGTGCCTGTTGTCGATCTTGCGTCACAGTGCATGCGCCGGTAAGGGTTAGGAATATGATGATTGGGGAAGGGAATGCCGTTACAGAGCAGAACCCACATAAATCACTTTAATTCAATTCAATCCTTTCTTTTCACTTTTCACTTTGCCGACAATCATTCGCTCGCAGGTGCGGCAAGTGCAGTAGATGCAGCAGATGCAGCAGGCCGGAAGACTTCATCTCTCCTACTCTCTTACTCTCCTACCTGCCCTACTCCATCACTGCTTCTTACCCAATCTCCCCAATTTCCCCAATCACCCAATCTCCACCACCAAAACATCTGCGCAGGAGCACTACCAATGAATGCCGTTCCACCTTGTCCCTTGCACTAAACATTTCCCTGTCCCAAGAGAGCAGCAGCTCATCAGAAGCTCTTTGCTCTATGTTGTTCGGAGATCCTGTGGGTGGTGTATGGTGTCCGACATATTGACTTAGCAGTGTAGCGATAGCCATACATACACGGCTCCGAGCCAGCGCGTGACAATCTCCAGCACATCCTCGCCCTTAACAGTTACCCCGAAAGAGACGACATCAGCACTAGCCTGCCATTTCCCACCTTCACTGCAAGGATCCTTGCATCATCTCCAATTATCAGACAGCTTCCTCGCTCCTCTCACTCTCTAAAACACCCCTCGACGCCATTACTCCAAATCAGAAAAGCACCAAAACATCTTTCCTATCCACCATGGCCTCCACCCACGGCACAACCCCTGCACTCACCGCCACCGATCCCGACCCCGTCAGCTCCTCGCCCTCTACCACCACCACCGAGCAGTCGAACATCCCCGCCAACGTTCCCACCAACCCCGACTCCACCCAACCCTCCACCACCACGTCCTCGGACCACGAATCCACCACCGAAGAGCGCCGCTCCCGCTCCCTCACCCGCCCCAAATACATGTCCCGCAAATCAAGCCGCACCATGCTCATCCCCTCCGACTCGCCCGATGTCGAGCTCAAAGAGGAGGAGAACTACCCGCCCGGTGATGCTCGAGCTATGAGTCCGCGTCGGAGTCCGGAAGAGACGAATGCGATGTTTGACAAGAGTCGGTTGGCTTTGACCAAGTGCGTTTGTCTCTACTTCCTGACTCTACTCTTTCTTTCTTTCTTTCTTTCTTCCAGTCAAGTGAGGGAAGTAGGCAGCTAACGAGAGGCGCAGTCACGCCATGGAAGTCCAATCCAGTCTCGACGCCCTCGTCAACAGGTGCGAGAACGTGCAGTTGGACTTGAGCAAGCTGGAGAAGAACAACAACGACCTCCAGGAATACATCGGCGGCTTAACGCGCAGCATGTCCAAGTCCACGGACCTGTCTTCGACCGGGCGCAAGAAGTAACGAGCTCGCCCACCGATCGCACCACCACTTCGGTCACTCAGGCCTGACGAATAATGCAAGCATAGCGATGGAGCGGCGTTTTTCGGTAGAGCATTGAGCGAGCGGGTCGAGCGGCATTGATCAAGCGGGCAAAACAATGTATTTCTAATGGCATCACTTAGTGAGCGACTCGAGCGAACATGTAACCCCCTTCGTCTGAGGTTGTTACTCGGGGTCGCAGCTACAGCCTAGGGGCGATAAGAGGAGCTTTCGGATGGACTTAGCATATCCGAAAACACAAAATTCAATCGATCCTCATCCCATCCCCTCTAACGGAGTTCATGTTCATCGGCGACGCGCCTACGTACTACCTACCTACCTATCGTGCGTGCCATACCACAGTTCACTTTGCAGCTAGCCTTCACAGTCACTCGTCCGTCTGAAAGAGGGAGAACGGTGAAGGTGGAGAAACGAAGTAGGACGTAGGACAAGGTATTTGCCAAACAGAATCGGACCAGAAGGGTCAGCGATGTAGTAAAAATCCCGCATGCTATCTTGCCCCCGTTCTATCTGAAGCGCAGCCTATAGCGTAAAAAGCCCATCATCACGTCCGTACCTACCTCTCGAATGTCCAAGCCACACCGACGCTCCGTTGCCACGAAAGCACAAAGGCCGTGCGCGCAGCGAAAGCAGAACGGCTCGTTCCCCTCTCACGATCTTTGAACCCTTGGCTGGGAAGAGCTCAGAGTTGCGCGACTTGGTGCGCGAGAGCTCCTCCGAGAGCTCGGAGACGGGGGTGGACTTCCCCCATCACGGAGCCAATCGGGGCGGAGCAGGACGACGGTGTTTCGGAAGGGTCGCTCGTCTCCTCCGTTGCTGGAGTTTTTCGCCTCCTTGTTGGCCCCGAAGACATCCTCCCTCCCCTTCATTCTCGCGCTTTCCGTCCCGGTTCTTGATCTTGTCGATTTCCTTCACGGAGCGGATGCCATCGAAATCTACCCTTGATGGTGGATGCTTCGCCGTGAAATTTGTAGAACGGGAGAGCGTGATGGGCGTAGGTCTTGGCCGATATGGGCGTGGAAAGGGGGAGCTTTTCCCGTGACTTGCTGGAAGATATCTGAACAGAGAGGATCTGAACGTTGAAGCAGATCGTGCGGTCCTCGCTCCCAGGTTGCGGCGGGGTTGGTGTCCTCCAGGATGCACGGCTTGATCGGACCACCAGGGGCAATGCCCAACGCAACATCCTTGGGGGTTGGGCCACTGCCGGCTCGAAGAAGCAAAATCAGGTGAAGTTTGGAACCCCAGAGTAACATTTAGTCAAGCGAGGAAGCTCCGACTTGAACTTGTAATTGAGTGTCACGATCTTGTAATGTGCGAGCGACTCCCCTGGAAAAGCTGGTATACTGTGTCTCTTAGGAGTCGGATGACTTTTGATCACCGTCCTCAAGTTGGTTTACTCCATAACACAGACCTTGCTGATCGGTGGAACGCCTTCCTTGTCCTGGACTTGGAGATTCACTTCGTAGGTCCAATCAGAAGGCAACGCCTTCAAGGTAAATATCTTGCCGGTCATGGTCTGGATCAAGGTTCGAATAGGACGGTCGTCAAAGCCGGGAGGGTTAGGAGCCTTAAGCGACACATCAGGCACGTAATGCATCGCATGCACCAGAGACGGAGAGGACGTAGGTGGCGGCGTTGAAGGTGTTACATGGAACTGGAGTCCTCCGGCTTGGTCTTGACCGGTAACTTGGGCTTCGACAGAGTATCCAGAGCCCAGGGGCATCGCCACGAATTGACGAATACGCTCACATGTCGGTAGCGATACCATCAAGCCACTGCTGCTTTGGTGTGGCAATGTGATCTTGGATGGACTTCTTCTTTTCCATGAAGCTGAGACGACGCATCATGATGGCTTCGTTGTCGCCAGTAGGCTCGCCGGAAATAGCATTCACGCCTCCAACAAAGATCCGGATGGCAAAAGGTGTTTTGGATTTGATTGAGATCCACATCGCCTCACGCTCTGGACGGTCTTAGTCCTTACTCTTGGGTCTAAAAAGGTAGGGGGTGTGAAGAGAGGCAGGACATACGGTACATGGGAAGGAAAAGGCCGCCTTTCGCCGCAATGTCTTTGGGCAATTCCTTTGCGTAGTTGGCGACCGAGTAGAGGGGAAAGCTCCCCATGCCTGGTGGGAGTTCAGAGTCCCCTTCGCCATCAGGAACTCTGATGGTGCGCTGGAATGATATGTCAAGCTGCTCTGCGCATCCGCGGCTGACTCTGACAATGTCTTCGGCCTTGCGCTGGAAGGAGCTCTGTTTGAGCGTGCAGTCCAAGGCTTCTGGGTCTGGGAGACCTGGAGGCGTGGCCACAGTGCCCTCCTTCTTGAGGAGAGTCACGGTGTTGAGAATGTTTGGGCTGCAAGCTGGGCCGAGGACCTATTGAGGTAAGCGAAAGGCCAGCTCTTCAAGACATTTGTGATTACCTGTGATGTGTGACGGTAAGATTGATGTTAGGGAGGAAGAGATTATAGAAAGAGGCCGTAGGAAGAGGACGAGGAAGTGAGGTGCAGGAGGTTCGATGAACAAGTGAAAGCGGCCAGATTGATTTGAGACTTGTGTCAAAAGAACTTCATGATTTGACCGGGAGACGGACTGGAGACTTCGCCAGAATGGATTGATTCTATGCTATGTGAATCTACCTACAGAAGCATGCCTTCAAGACACCTCTAGAAGTTCCAAGTGCCAGGGTATCATTTTCTCCCATACCATTCGACCCCTTGGAACTGTGTCCGTCAATGCCCTTGGTTGTGTGAAAAACATGTCCAAAGACATGTTGTGATCACACCACATGAACTCAGCAATTAGGAGAATATCAAGCATGCCATTTTATCTATGCATCTCATTCTGTGCATCCTCCGCGCAATGATGCCCTTTTTGAATCATTGTCTGAGCCAGCCATACAATGCTGCTCTATAGATCTGGGTCATCTTCATCTGGCAATGGCTGGTTTGCAGCATCCTCCATCTCATCTTTGTATTGCTTAAGTAGAGCTTCATCAACTTGGACGGTAGGGGGAGCCAAGGCAAGACCAGCAACAAATTCCTAACAGGAAAAGATTAGTATCGGCCTAGCATGGCATCCTTCTAGCCTGACTTACCAAGCCTGGGTTGCCGACGAGCTTTCTCGCTAGCCACAGGAAGGGCTTTTCGAAGTTGTAGTTGGATTTAGCGGAGATATCGTAGTACTGGAGGTTCTTCTTGCGATGGAAAGTGATGGTCTTGGCCTTCACTTTACGCTCTTTGACATCGACTTTGTTGCCGCAAAGGACGATTGGGACTTGTTCGCAGACACGGACAAGGTCGCCTAGGAATGGGTCAGTCGTATGCCTCTACTTCTGACGGCGGATGACGTACGGTGCCAGTTGGGAACGTTCTTGTAGGTGATTCGGGATGTGACGTCGAACATGATGATACCGCACTGGCCATTGATGTAGTACCCATCTCGGAGACCACCGAACTTCTCTTGTCCTGCGGTATCCCAGACATCGAACTGGATCCCTCCGTAATTCTAAAATATCATAAGCCGGCTGAATCAAGCCCAAACTTTCAGATCGAGTACGTACTGTTGAGAACCCGAGCGGGTGGACCTCAACACCAAGTGTTGCGATGTACTTCTTTTCGAATTCCCCTGTCAAATGGCGCTTGACGAAGGTCGTCTGTTACCGCATGTTAGCCACCGTCTCTGAGAAGATTATAAAGCGCCCAAGCCTTGAGCCTGAGCACCCGATAATTGCTGCCCACCGCTCAAAATTTTGGGCCATGGACCGAACGTTATGCAGTGGCCGCAAGCAGAGTGGGGAAGCTAGGCAGGAGAACAAACCTTTCCAGTACCACCGTCTCCGACTAGCACAAGCTTGAAGGTAGGGGGCACTTGTGCGCTAGATGCCTCGGCCATCTTGAGCAAATGTGACTTTGTATGTCTTGTGGGGTATCTGATATAACCTTGAGTATCGTGCTGCTTCTGTCGAGGTCTCACAGAGAGGTAAGGGGCGAGGAGAGGATGACTACTGACTTGAATGATGTCTTTGAACTACCAGAGAGTTGTTGGTGAGTATTGCGAGGTAGATGAAGATCGTGAAGATTGTGGTGCAAGGTTTGGATGCAGAGCGGAAGTTGAGGCGACAACCAGAACATGAAAGGTGGAGAGCACGCTAGAATCGGATAGGCCAGAGCCGGTTTACGCACCCTTCGACCTTATTTTTGGACTCCAGTCCACCACACTTCCGAGACTTCTTCGCCTCTTTCGTCTTCTTTTATTCACACCATACTACCCCAGCGCCGTTGCTTGTACTCAAATCTGGCTGCTACGTAGGTCGTCAAAGCCGAGGCACGTCTGGTCAGACACAAAAGGCCGTCCTCGCCCATCATGAATGAGAAAATCGCATATCATCGGTCGATCACATCGACCGAGATTCAGGCCTTGCTGGACCGGAGATCCCTTCACCCCATTCGATGTATGTCGCAACAGCTGCGAGCGCTTACGGGCTTGATTCCTATCAGGCGCTTCTTGCTGAGCCAGAGGACGATATCCTAAAGCCGAAATGCACGCTCGCAACCCAAAAAAGTATCGCGATTGCACGAAAGCACTGGAGAAAGTTTGTATTGTCATCAATAGTGATAGCTCTAAGCTGATGGCCTGGGTACAGATTTTGTCAAGAAATCTTTCCAAAGTCCCTGGATGCAGAGGTTGATCCTATCGAGCGCCTCCATCACGTCTGCTTTCGAGATCTGCAAGTATACTTTCGATGGTATCTGCAGCATAAGAAGATACGAAAAGTCAAAAGTATTTTGAGCAGAATCAATGATTGGAGCATGATGTATAGAGATGACATGGGTCGCAATACAGAATAGGTATTGATCGTGACCCACGAGCACCCGTACACTTAGACGCCGATGAGCAAGACGCTGTACTTGCGGATCAAAACTTTGTTTGTCTTGAAGCACGCATCAAGTCGCTCCGCACCAGCATCTACAACGAGCATTCCTGACTCAAATGCAAGACAACAACGGACGAAGCTCAGAAGAAGCAGTTGCGGGAGCTGCAAAGATCGCGACAAACCTTACGCAAAAGGCTTCTTAAGGAGGCAGCCATCGAGAAAAGGATACGGTTTTTCCACTGTATCGATAGCGACGACATCCGTCAAGCCAAACATGGCGTTCCGGTGACCTACAGCCCCCCTTTCCAAGTCTACGCCTTGAGAGCCAGAGCCAACTTGGCCAGTATCTTCACTCGAGTTAATCCTGACGGCGTAACAGCAAGGCAACGTGGCCGCATAGAAGCGCCCCAAAATCTCATCGACCTATGTCACACACGTGAACCCCATCATTCAAATCCCGCATCAAGAGCGAGTAAAGGTGCTACTGCCTAGATGGAAGACACTACGTTCGCTTTGAAAGAAGTCTAAACGGAGTACGAGATTCGAGATCTGTAAAAGGCCTTCGAGACTATGGAGCTAGTCCCCCTTATGCTACCGAGTACTATATGCCTCTTCTGCCTCGACGATGACGAGTTGACATCCCAAGCAAGAACTGCATCTTTCTCACGCATCGACAGCCTCCGGAGGCACATGGACGATGTACATTTAAGCCACTACGACCCCGAGGTACCGCTTTTATGCCCTCACCCGTCATGTGACATCTCCCTTCAGGGTGTCAATCACTTCAAGAATCATGCTGCTACCGTGCATAATGTATCCTTGTCGAAGTGAGATGTGGGTCGGGTGCCCACTCGGCATCACTTCAATGCAGGACATTGAAACGTACGTGTCGGTGATGATATGTTGGCTTGGTTGCTTTTTGGGCGTTCGGCGCATGTTTGATACGACATCCTCTTAGAGTCAGCCGAAGGTTTTCATCCTGGTGCGCTGTGGCACGCAAAGGTTTCCTTCACCAACTTCACCATCTCGCATAGTCTAGGTACAAGCGAAACAACCTTCATGCTTGAATGTTTCTTAAGGCAACGCTTTCAGCTTCAGCTGGACGCTGTAGTCAAAACACAAGCCCACCAGCTGTTTTCATGGCCACCTGCAATTACTGCTCCCATGGCTATTGTAGTATTGCTCTCATGGCTGCTCCCCTGGCCACTCCCCTGCTATTGTAGTATTTTTCTCACGGCCATTACTGCTCGCATGGCTATTAGTGCGCCCATGACCATTTTAGTATTGCCGCCATGGCAGCAGCAGCTAGTGCTAGCATGATTGTGTGGGAGACCGCCTGGGACCGTTCTCCTGGGGACGCTCGGAGCGCAGAAAGCGACGAGCGAGATCATCCAAAGGTTGCCAAGGGCTGTTGTCTAGAAACCCACGTGAATGCTGTTAAACGATGGTTATCGAATGTATCCGAGTCGTGGACCCTGATCTTAGGGGTGTACGACAGTGGAGTCTGTGGATGAAGTCTTACACAGACTCAAGCTTGACCTAAACATGTGTACTCGTGGATAAGATATTGTTTGGAGAGTTCTGCTGTACCAGTGCTAGCTATATCAGTCACAAAATCGGATCAATATAGTTCATGTTGCCTAATAGCAAGTATAGACATCGGTCAATCCGGGCTAGCATCTGGTGTGGCATGGTGAGGCCAATGTCAATCCCCTCATGAAGCCACTGACTAGAATACTTTACTCAAGTCTCATCCGCCAACTCATTCCAACCGGGGGAGACCGCCTGGGAGCATTGTCCTAGGACATTCGGAGCCAGAATCCACTGTTCCACAATAATTTCAATCCTACAACTTATCCCTTAGGAGCAACCTCCTAGGATAAATAGATAAGGGGTGTAGACCGCTGGCTTGCTTGAGGTTGGCGACAAGTGAGATGCGAAGGATGTTCGACCGGAAGGATGTTCGACCGGAAGTTTGTCAACGAGTCCCTCTTCAAAAACTTTTTTTAAGAGATAAGCGCAGAAGCAACTAGCACTATCCACCCTCTCTACTAGCCTCCCACTCCTCCTACCAGGCCCGCAACGCCAAAAAGAGGCTTCTTAAGAGTAAGAGAACCGAAAGCTAGAGGTAATACATAGAAGAGTGCGACAGCGACGAGAAGCTATAGAGACTCGATAAATAAATTAAAAGTAAATAGATTAAAACCTCTTCTTTTACTCTCGAACTAGTAAAATTAAATTCTATTATTATAATCGAAGTTGAAAAGAAGATAATATCTTTCAAAAATGCTTTTTCTTTCTTAAATAAGATAAAATAAATTAAATAATCTTAGAGAATATTATTATTTATTTATTCTATATTAAAGAAGTTTTTAATTATTATAATCTAAAAGATTTAATAAATAATATTTAATAAGTTTTTTAAATAAAATCGTAGATAAAAATAAATTAATCTTTTAAATTCTATAATTCGCTTTAAAATATATAAAAGTATAATTAATTAATATATATAAAGAAATAAGATAAAACTAAGCTTAAAAATCTTAAATTTATATATATAGTTAATTATAAATTTAAAGTTATTATATTTTCTAAATTAGATCGACTAAGTTATCGCGAGTAAATAAATTAATATTCGTAATTATTAAAAAAAAAAGATATATATTATTAATATATAAAATAACTTTTTTATTTTCTATTAAAATTTTAAGTTTTTTTTTTAATTATAGAATAAAATATAGGCTTTTAAATAAAAAAAGAATTTTTAAATTTAATCTTATAATTATTAAAGCGTAAGGAATTTAAATATCGCTTATTAAAGTTCGCTCGATAGCCGAATAGCTCTAATTAAAAAATAGATATATATTTTTTAATTTTAGAATAACTTTTTTATTTTTTATTAAATTTTAAGACTCTTTTTTTTTATTATAGAACGAAATGTAAGCTTTTAGAGAGAAAAAAATTCTTAAATTTAGTCTTATAATTATTAAAGCGCAAGGAATTCAAATATCGCTTATTAAAGTTCGCTTACTAAAGATCGCTTATCTATTTACTCGATAGCTCTAATTAAAAAAATAATTATAAATTAAATTCATAGACCTATACTCGTTAAAATATAATTAAAATATATATATCGATTTAGAATACTATTCGAAATACTTTTATTATTTAAAAATAATAATATTATAAAAGCTCGATAAGAATAATTATACTTAATCTAAATTACGTTAATAGATTTTTAAATTAAGAGAGGATTTTCCGAGATATAATCTCTTAAAATCTTCTAAAATCTATTTATTAGATAATTACGTGTGATATCTTTTAAAGTAATTTACTTTCTTAAATTATTAAGTAAAGTCGTAGGGCTGAAAGACTGTTCCCGCTTTAAATTATTTTATTGAATCACATTGCTAAACCTGTCTAGTGTGAGAGGCAACGCAGCAGTAGTCGAGACCTGATGTTATACATCGTAAACTTCGTAATGCGACCTGTGAGGTAAATCTGGCATGATAGCATTAGTCCGTTTCGAAGCAACCTGGGGTGACAGGCGCGAAAACGGTTTAAAGGAGTTGGCAAGCTCTAGTCTCCGCGCAGTATGGCAAGTTCGACTTTGTCCCATATGTCGAACGCTGCTCTCCCTATCTCGAGACATATTTGCGGTTTCTACGTTCCCTTTCTTTGCCGTCAGGACATCATCGCAATTTCATACAGTATTCCCTATTCCTCACCGCACGTTGCCATGTCTTTACCCCAGACTCTAGGATCATCTCCTGCAACATATTCATGTCATTGTTAATCATGATTCTAATCCACCACGACCTCTTCGTCTCGAAGACCCAATGAGGCTTTGTGATAGCGATGCTGAAATCTAGAAGCAGTCCACCCCCGTAATTTCGTTCTTGCACGTCTTGTGGATACACGCCAAATTTATGCATCTTGAGCAAATCCTTCCGCATCCTGATCAGGTTCTTTTCGTTGAGTGGACGGTCATCTTCTATGAGATCCTTGACGATTGCGCGAAATGGCTGTCTCTTAGATACTGACAGTTCTGAGTCGTCCTCGGGACGGTCCCATGCATAGACTTCAAAGCGTCGATCTAGCTCTTCCTCTCTTGCAGCTGGAATAGCTATATGGCCGTGACAGCGCACGGCGACCTTTCCGTTGACATCGCATTCTATAAGTCTGCCATAAGCACGACATTCATTGTAGAAAGGATCGGTCTGCAAGCGAATGGTCTCGATCGGTATTTTCTCTAGTTCTTTTTTGCTCATGCTGAATGTAGCAGAGTCCACATCATAGAATTTGAACTGTTGGTGGCATCAGCCTGGCCCGGACAGGAGCAAGATATTGCATCTACCACTTTCAAAGCATAACGCATACCGTCTATAATGACCTCAAAGACATGCGACTGCCCATCCTGCTCGTTGTCGCTAAGAAGACGAACGAATTGAATATCGACTGCTCTCTTGGAGAAGGGGTGAAGCTTGGGTCCGTCGCATTGTGGGAGCATCTTGGGAAGATCTCTGGACATAGTGACTGCGGCTTGACCTCCAGTAACGGGCTTGATATGATTGAGAACATTTGATAAATGTCAAGAATCGGGTGTCCATCATCACCGTTCGACCATACGGCTGTCACGGCCATGCGTGTTTCAGAAGGAACCAAAGTGCGCGGCAACAGAAATTCGGGGAGCAAAGTTTAAGTAGCTAATCGGAGGGGCTAGCGTCTGGGGTATTCTGCGCCGCGAGTGCCATGCTTCCGCTTCCGGAGCTTCCCGTAATCAAGGGGATAATCGGGATGTACATATTCTACAGGGTCTTTGCACACGGATGGCCCCCCTGTTGCAAGCACGCTCATTGACCAGATTTCCTGACTAAGTGGCCAGGACTGGTATGGCTGGCTATAAAAACTAGCAGAGGGGACGTCCATTGTGGAAAGACCCTGTAGATCACTTGGAACCGCTGATGGCGCGATATCTTAAGGCTTGGCGTCCTGTACTTTTTAAGACCTCCTGAGGGAATAATAGGCTTATGCTTGGACTCTCTCTAGGCAAACAAGGCGGAGATGCAGCGTGGGTAGAAAATAGAGGTGAGATGCGAAAATGCTTCCCAGCGTGTGATATTTTCTAGCCGCGCGGGAGGGAGAGGAGGGAGAGCAAGCTAGAAAACCCTCCCCTCATTGATGTGCGCAAGACTTATTATCACATGTCGCTACCCTCCATCTACTGAGTCGATCATTGGTATTAGTCGGCGCCAATTTGCACGAGGCGGTGTCTCAGAGATGATGAATCAATTAAACTTCCAAAAATATCTTTCAGCTCACGGTGGAGTTGACAGGGGTTGCCTAGCCAACAACACTAGTGGGCCTTGACCATGGTAGATATCTGGCCCTACACCAGTCATACATAGTAGTCATCCTTCTTCTACCCACACAATACCTAATCCACCTTATTCTTTGAAGATCCTACCCGGATTTCTTATAGTCTTAAAGAACGATTATACTTCTATTATTTATTATCTTTTAATTTAATTATATTATCAGTTATATCGAATTAATTATATTCGATATTCGATTTTTATTATATTTATAATAATTTAAAACTAGTCTCTTATTAATTAAAGCGTCTTAAATTTAAGTTATAAGAAGATTCTCGAAGTAAAATTATCGCCTTAAAGTATATTTTAAGCTCTATAAATCTACTTCTTATAGAAAACGTAGTCGATTAGATAGAGTCTTTATTAGAAATTAATACGCTTTTCGTTAAATCTTATATCAGCGAGTTATTAGATCGATTTCTCTCGCTCTTTAAAGAGCGCTTTTCTATTAAGTCTATCGAGATAATTTCGACTATCTTTTTAAAAGAACTCGAAAATTTATATTAAAATATTAAGAAGTTATTTACTTCGTACTACTAGTATATAATATAAATTATAAATTATTTTAACGCTCGTAATCGTTTTTCTAAAGACTTGTCTTTATTAATTCTTAAGTTATTAATACTAAACTTAATCTATAATATATTTCTTAAAGATTTATAAGATCTTAAGCTTCGACGTAAAGCTATTCGAGAGATTATTATTAAAATATCTTTATATTCGATATTTATATCTATAGAATAGATATATAAATTATAATTAATTATTAGAAAGATTAAGTATAAGAAGATTTAATTATAAAAGATTATATTCTATAAGAATATTATAAAGAGAAATATATTTATAACTTAGTTAAAATTTAGATAAACTTCTTATTTAGCGAGAAGTAATATAATTAAATAGAGAGTCTTATTATAATTTCTACTATCGTCTTTAAATTCTAAGTAAGCTTCTTAGTCTATAATCGAATCTAAATTAGTTATCTAGGGTATAAGTAATTTAGATCCTTAATCTATTTTAAAGAAGGATTATTATAAGTTTAGAGCTACGAAGACTATAGAAATTAAGACTATTATAAGTATTAGAAGTATTAATATATCTAGATTAATTTATAAATATAAAGAATATTATAAAGAGTTTAATATAAATTAGAGTATTAATTAGATATAATCGCGAAACTCTTATTATTTATTTAATAGTAGTTAATAGAGATTATCTAGTTAATAATATTAATAAATCTTAGTTATAGTAGATATCTAGCTCTATATTAATCGTATATAATAGAGTTATTCTTCTTTTACTTATACGATATTTAATTTATCTTATTCTTTAATAAGTATATACGAGCGAATTACTAATTTATATTTTAAAAGTATAAATTCTTATCGAATTATATCTCTAATTACTAAATTATACTTTTATATTAAATTTCATCTAAATATAAAATATAATTCGATAATTTATTATTACTTAGAATATAATTTAACGAGAGTCTTAAATAATAGCTTTTTAATATAAGAGAATTTAATAAAGATAATAATAGCGATAGACTTACTAAGCGTCTGATAATAATCGTCGACTTAATTATTAATAACGGTGATATTTACGCTACGTAACGAGGCGAGATTTAAGGCGGGATTTAACCCCCGAAGGTTACTCCGCCCCGCCCCGTTTCGAGATACCTCGCCCCGTTGCGCAGCGTGGTGATATTGTTAGGAATTATTCCTTCGGGGGCCTTACGGGGCTTACGGGACCCGAATAGGGGTGTCTGCAGCGTGAAGTGCTTTCTAGCCTAGCGATAACTCGAACTGGTAAAAATTTCGCCCACTCGGCTTTCGCCTGATGTTTTTAGACTGATAGAATTCTTATCAAATGCGCTCGGAGAAACTACCTTATTTCTATGATCGAATAAGCCAGATCGCGGATTATCTCCTTCGTAGCTGGTGGTAGTTTGAGGCCATATTAATAACTTACCAAATTATACCCCAAGCAATGGCAAATTACCGAATCATACCAAAAAGAAACCAATGTGCTCGACTCGATCTCGCGCCAAATGTCGTGAGACAGACTGGCCCGCCTATGCTTGAGCACTCACAAACAACATCAGCCGAAGATTGCCGGTATCTTAACGGAGGATCAGGCCGCAATCTCACCGTCACTGTTAAATGGTCTTCTTCACTTCTCCCTTCGGATGTCTCCTCATGTACACACACACACATTTGTACTCTTTCGGTGCGCTGGAACTTAGACAAAATAGCCCCCCCGGAGCAAACCGTCAAGTCGGATGGGTACCCTAAGTGTACCCGGATGTCATGCGGGGTTTTCACGTATCGAAACGAGGGACACGCGTGTTGCCATTCGAATCCCTTTGGTCGCTTGTAAGCTGAGTGTCTGAATTCAATGGTCATACGCATTTGCACTGAAGAGTCTGTGCATTACAATTAGACTTGAATTATCGTAAGCCACTGTGGAATATAGCTTTCTGAATATTGCCCTGCCCAACTACATGACAGAAACCCCATTATTGGCCCCACTGTCCATCTTTGGGCGTATTGTAAGAATGCAGCAGAGGCTATGCAAAGTGGAAAAAGACTCCTCAGCGAAGGACTTTGAGTATTCTGAACTTGGATAGAAGGAGGTCAGCACGCTCGGCACGGTCAGGAGCGCCAAGCGTTTAAGAAGAGTTTCGACTACGGCTACAGCCGAAAGATGAAGGTGTAAATCTTGTCGACGACAAGTCACCAAGTCTTACAGTACGGAGTAGTAGAGTAAGCATTTGGAGTCTGGCTACTGGCACTCAAGCCTGGAGGAGATGCGCTTCTTCTCCCACGCTTTCGACATTACACGTACTCAGCCTCAACGCTGCTGTAATGAATGCCTTTGAAAACCATCTCATACTTTGTCGACGCCGAATAGCTTGTCATCTCAATGCAGTAGTCGCAACGATAATATTTCTTACCGTCCTTCCCAACGCTTCGGTCAATAGTCAACTCGGGTATACATGACAGATCAGTCGTGAGTCGCACAAGTTCCTTGACACCTGCCAACGATTAACAGCGTCATCATGGCACAGCTCCATATAATACATACCATCATTTCTATACACTGGTGCGCCTTTCTCCTGAGGGTCTTCACACACGAAAATTCCAGAATTAAGTTGGGACGGTGGGCCATCAGAGACCAGAGAAGTTGTGTAGTACTTGAACCGCGCCGGCTTATCTTCTTTGACAGGGTCTCCCTGCACCAGTCTCAATATGCTGGAATCGGCAAGAGCAATAGAGCTAACCTTTTTGATATACCAGTGCATTGCTAAATTTTCGTGCTCAGCAGCGTATGGATCCCACGCTCTGCAAAAAAGTCAGTGTACTAGACAACAACGTAACCGGAAACAAACTTGTGGCTTTCAAGATGGCCAAGCGAAGCGTTGAATGTCATATGCGACTCCGACCCATAGTGCTTACGCGCTGACCTAGAGAGAACTTTGACCCTTTCAAGCCTCGGCGCTGCTTTTGCCAGACCTTTCATAAGAGCGCCACGGACGACCGCTGTCCAGCTATAAGATAGATATCAGCATTCTCAACTATCGAAGATCAGACAATGTCTACTTACCTGTTTGGCGGTACCAATATCTCAACTTTGGAGCCGACGGCCTGGCGCAAAGATTTTCGCAGGTAAGCACTCTCCCCAAAACCACCAACCAGGAGGACTGCTTTGACCTCCCGCTTAGTGGACTTTATTTGCCCAATAACAAGGGCAATGACTTCGTCGAGAACTGGGCTAAAAATTTGGACGATCTCCGAGCCGCTGAGGCTAAATTTCCCTCGCTTAACACCCTGCTGGGAATTGTCGACAAGCCCCGGCACTGTGGTCAGACACTTTAATTAAAATTCGTGTAGACTAGCCAGGAAGACCTTACCTGGGATTTGGAAAGATTCGCTGACATCTCCTGTAAATCTTCTCTTAATCTACATTCGTCAGGAAGCAGAACCCTTAGCCCTGGCAACAATATGTACGTACTAGCTCCTCAAATCTCTTTGAAGCCTAGGTATGTAAGCAGATGTCGCCTTACAGAGTAAGCGTACTCACCTCCTCAATAACATCGTCATCCCATCCCTCATTCTGTCCGAACTTGGCAATAAGGAACTGTTCGAAGATACGATTGAGGTAGGTACTTCCACAGAGGCCTCCATTTCCTCCGGCGGCTTCGTCGACCTTTAGTGACGGTGCAAGCCCAGACACGGTATATGATATCAAGTCCACAGTGCCACCACCAGCGTCGCAGAGAACAAACGTATCTCCTACTTTTACATCATGAGGATTCAGAGCATCAAGCGCATATGTTGCTGCTGCTTCCGGCTCAGATATGATCTGCAAAAGATCCCCTCGGCCCATTCCCGCTTTCTCTGCACACTCTCGAGTCGCAGCCTGCGCGGCAGGCGACCATACTGCGGGAGTTCTATTCCGATAGGACCCACATTAGAGATAACCTTGTGTAATTTTACGCACCGATTCACTTACGTTATGATATACTCGATGGCCGTTGAACGTAAAGCAGCCTCTGGTAATTTCAATTTCAGGAAAGTGTCTGTATGCTGACGAAGAGCCGTCAAATAATCAGTGACAAGCTTTTTCACATCCGTATTGTATCCAGGAGGCAAAGCAGCGCGAGCTGGAAAGCGCCTGGCTAGATCTGATATACCACTCCTCGAAGTTGTGTCGAGATCGAGTTTGAACCATTGATGCCGTGGGAGTTCATCGCTGATTTGAAAACCCCATTGGTATTCTTTGCCGTTGTAGCGTATCTCGCTGATTGAAACAGTCAACATAAAGACTTGGACAAGCCTCAAAGGTCTCTTACGTCGGGACCTTTTCACTTGTCCGACCCTCTAAGCCCTGAGATCCGGCAACGGGCCATTGGGTGATTGTGGTTTGGATGTCTGGCTTGGTACGTCAGTTACATAGCGACGATAACGAATTCACGTCTCGAATACTCGACGTGTCTGCGACCATGCCAGTCCTGAGTACGTGGTGCCCTGCCAGCATGTCAGTAGCAGAACGTGGGCTCAACGCATCAATGAAAGAGCCCTACAAAGTCTACAGCAACGACGATGGTACGGTCATTTGATGGGCCGTCCAGTGCTAACGATGAGAAGAACCCAGGTAGCTCACTCGTGGCCATATTGATTATAGTGACTGGATATCCCAGACGTAGATACTGTTAGGTCGGAGAAAGTCTGAAGAGGATTGAAGGAGGGAAGCTTTGTGGTGGGATCGTCGCAAGGCTGTGGGAGGCTATCTGTCGATTACGCTTATAACCAGACGGAGCCAGGTAGACCTGCATAACTATATAAGCATACAGGGTTGCATTATCAGTGACAAACACTTACTCTGCCCCCTATCGAGACGATGCGGATGGATACAAATGATCCTGGCTACAGCCTTCGCCCCCTAGTCTGTTGGACCAGACCTCGCCAAGTGTTACCTGATCAAGGCTCCTGCGTGTGCTGCGTGGTTCCGATCAGGCTATCTAACTCGATACCACGAATTTTGCAGTGACATTAGTCTCAATTCATTACCCGACGGGCAGCCGCCCTCTTCAACACGTGTGGCATTGGTGGAGATGAAGGAGGAGACTAGCGAAGCCCAAAAGCTTCTCTCTGCCGTCAAGGCGTTAATTGAGAGGACAATACACGGCCCTAATGGGACCATTCGTTCTACGCTCAGAGTTCAGCGAATTTGAGCAAAATCTAGGGCACAAAGCAGTAGCCACTAGATGCTCGACAAGCAAGAATCTGATTTATTGCGCCGCTCAAAATAATTTGAAAGCCATTCTGGTGCTCCAACAGTTTAGATGTACTGACGTGGGGGACATCCGCTGACAGCGAAAGAGCCAGTTACGCTCGGGAAAACCTCGATCCTTCAAACAATGCTTCGTTATACGCATTTAGAGAGGGTCAATGGCGCAATGCTTGAAGGGAAGAAATGATGGTGTGGACCCGGACGCAGTACACGAGGCTGAAATATATAGCGCGGTTCTAGCCCACGGATTCCCTCTCAGAATCAGGGCGCAATGCCGTTGTTGGCGTGCATAAGCTTCGCTTTAGCTTTACAGGAGCTCCTGAATCGGTCATGCTGCAGCCGAGCAGCGTGAAAGGAGTTTCTGTCTTCATGCGTTAACGTGGGGTTGAAGAGAATGTGCGAGAAAAGAGATGGTAAGCAAGCCCTGTCTGCTGCAGGATCTTGGGTAATATTATTCACGAATTTTACCCCGCCATGCAACCCAATCATTGCTCGCTTAAAACAATAGGAAGCCTTATCAAGAAGATACCAGAAAACCTCCCTGCGGCATGTCTACTTTCCGTATGGATTTCGCGATATAACCATTTACGTCGTGATTTCCAAACAGAATATATACCAAGAACCAGAACCCCGCCAGAAAAGAACATGATGTCGCAAAATACAGAGGATGTTCTAATGACGGACGTAGTGAGTCCTTTAACCATTTCGTTGTCATTGTGGAGAATCTGAAGTTCTGCACAGCAAGATAAGAGTAGCGATGCCAAAACAACTAGGTTTCCAACAAAGCGCCCATCACCACCGACTCCTTCTGGGCATGAGGAGCCTCAAGAGACGGAACGCTCAAAATATCCTTGCTCCAAGGCTGCCGAAAATATAGATGGCGAATTAGAAAACCAGCTCTCCGAAGCCCGTGAGGGTGCCAAAGATTTCGAGCATAGATTCAACGAAGCGCGGGACTTGAATACTAACCTCCAGGTAGCTTTTACTATAAGCCAAAACGAATCGATCGAGCTCAAGAAAAAGATTAAGACCCTCCAAAACGAATCGACAGAGCTCAAGAAAAAGTACAAGACCCTCCAAAACGGACACGATGTCATCCATGAGCAAAGGACGGCCCAGTTACTTTCTGACGTAGAAGGAAGAAGGAAACAAGCCGATTCGAACACGCAAATTGCGCTATTGAAGGTCCAAGAGCTCTCCGAAGAGCTTCAGAAGTGTAAAGATGAACTATTCAACCTCCAGCCTCCGAATCCAGTAGCCGACACACACATTAGCGCCGAATGGGACGCATTATGCTCAAGCATCACGACTTGGATTGACGACCAATCCGGCGGAGTCGAGGATCTTCGGACTCGATTCCGGGAGCTAAATTCAAACAAGAAGTGTAGTAAAGCTCTCGCCAAGTACTGGGGCGAAGACAGACAGCTCATTGCCAACCACTACTCCCAGAGCTCCAATATCCTTGATGAGATACTACGGTACAACATCCACTGTTTTCTAGAAGCCGAAGTCTTCGACGATCGTGTCTACATGGTGGGTCTTTCCACATCCGAGGCGAAACTCCTCCTCAAAATCGAACGAGAAATGGCCAAGTTGGAGCCACGACGAGGTAAGAAAGTATTCTCCCTCTCTTACTGGTCACAGTTTGCTACCCCAAGGTCCTCCCATTATGAATTAACACCCGCACGCTAGACCCCTCCTACATCGGGCTCTGGCGTTCAGAGGCTCTCGCCGCTCTGTCGTCCACGGCAGGCTTCAGCACATTCCTGGAAAAGGACACCCAAAAGATCCGCCAGGAAGCCAGCGAGATCCTCGAGCCGCTCCTCCAACGCCGAGCCCGCGGCGCCATGTCTGCTTTCGACCGCGACATCATCATGCCCGCGATCCGGCTCGCCAGCACACTGCGCCAATCAACCGCAAAGTACCACTTCGTCTTCCGCGTCGTCTCAAACAAACACGAGGAAAAGCCACCCGCGTTGCAAAAACCGGGGAACCGCTTGCTACTGTACAAGAGCGACCTGGAAGACATCGATGTGCTGGATGTGGGATCGAGGATCACGTTGAAGAAAGGAAGGAATTACGAGGAGGCGAGCGATGGGAGTATCGCGGAGAGTATTCTGGTTGTACACCCGGCGCTTTACCGCGAGACCCCGACCGAAAGGATCTTGGTGAGCAGACAGCTCGTTCTTGCCAAACTGTTGAAGCCGCCGCAGCGGAGGGGCCAAGCGAGAGATGTGGAGGAGAATAGGGGGTGGTTTGATAAGCTGGGCCTCAAGTTCACTTCGTAGATGCAATTGGTGAGCTTTGCGCGCTCTGTCGTACGAGCGAGCAAGGGCAGTACGACCCCGGGCAGCTTGGCAATCTTGGTACGTTTCGGGACAGGTAATGCGGTGATGTGCAAAGCATCCATGTGCGTTCAACGGAAAAAAATGAATAAAAAACGCTGTTGAGAAGTTCAAAAAGCTGAAAAAGCAAAAGCCATGATCAAGTTACATTGAGATCATGATACAGTGTGGTCCTGGAAGCTGTGGGTAGGAATCCCTATTTTTTTCATATGCTCGTAGAGCGGATATAGTTATTTTTTATAATTAAAGTTCAAGAATTTAAACGTAGTTTCTTATTAAACTTTAAACTTTAATTCTTTAAAAACTTATTATTAGCGAATTTTCTTAAAAATTTCGAATAAAAATCGCTATTAAAGTATATATATTTTAATTTTAATTTTCTATATAATAATTTAAATAATAATTTCTTTTTATTATTTTATTATTCTATTAATATTTAAAATCTTATTTTTAAGCTTTAATTTAAGTTTAAGTAAGAAGAAATAAATTTAATATTTCTTTATAAAGAGAGATAAATAAGTCTTTAACTTTTTTTTATAGATTTTAAAAATAAAAATAATCTAATTAAAGCAATATATAATCTTCTTCTAATTTTTATAGATAAGAAAATAATAATTTATTAAAGTTACTATTAAATTAAAAAGAAGTTACTTAAAGAATTTAAAAGTTATACTTCTTTAATTATAAGTTTTAAAGTACTTAATTAATTATTTATATACGCTTCTACTCGAATTATAAAGAGTAATTATAGATTATTATATAGATAATATATATTTATAAGAGAAATCTTTTCTAATCTCTTTAAGTTAGAATTAGAATCTTTATTTTTCTTTCTTTTACTATCTTTATAATATATTTTAAATTTTTTATTATATTTATATTTTAAACTTTTTAATTTCTATCTTAGACTTTTAATTTAATAATTTCTCTTATTTATTTTTAAAGAGTTAATTTATATAATTATATATTAGCGAGTAATATTAAAATAATATAGATACGATATTAATATAAGTAAGATAGATTAAGAATAATAAGACTATCGAACTATGTATGTGGAAAGAAGATATGATATAGTAGGAGATGTCTCCGCTAAGGCCCGCTAGGCTATAGGGCTGAGTAGTGTATTAAGGATACGCTCGTAATAAGTAAGTATTAATTTAGAAAATTTATTAAAATAATCTATCTAGCGATCGTTTTTATCTCTTTAAAGAATATTAATATAATTAATATATTACTAATTTTATCTTTTTTATTAAAATTTATCTCTTTTTTATTTACTTTAAATAGAATATTAAAATATATTTAATATTTTATTTTCTTTAACTATAAATGAAGCTATTTAAAATAATATTTAATATTCTATTTATATAAAGAAAATATATAAATTTAATCTTTTTTATATATATTTAAATAAAAGCGAAATTTTTAACTTTAATTAGATTTTAATAAAGAGATCTTTAATTTAATTTTAATCTTCTTTATTATACTAATATTCTTATTTATTTAAAAATCTTTAACTAATAATAACTTTAATATAATATTTATTTTCTATTCTTTTAATCTTTTATTATCTTTCGTACTTTTTAAGTATATTAAATTTAATATTATATTTTAATTAGCGAGCTCTATAATCTTTAAAGTTTATAATTTCTTTTCTTTTACTAAAATCTCTTTCGTCTTATATCTTTATTCTCTTCTCTCTCTTATCTTTTATTCTTTCTTCTAATATAGAAATTATTCTTTTTTCTCTCTTATCTTTTATTCTTTCTTCTAATATAGAAATTATTCTTTTTAATTATTATATATATATATCTTATAATTTTACTTCTAAAAATAATTTTATTTAAAAGAATTTATATTAAAAAGATCTTTATCTTTATCTTTAAAACGTATATATTCATTACTTTATATATTTCTATAACTCTTTTAAAATAATTATTTTAAATCGTTTTTAAATATCTTATATATATTTCTTAAGCTTCTTTTAATTTCTTCGATATATATTATATTATTATTACGTAGATTATTATTAATCTTATTATAAATTATAATATTATATTCTACGAGTAAAGGCCTATAAATTAAATTCATAATCATTTTTTTTAATCAGAGCTGTCGAGTAAATTTGGTGAGCGATCTTTGATGAGCGATATTTGAATTCCTTATACTTTAATAATTATAAGACTAAATTTAGAAATTCTTGTTTTATCTGAAAGCCCATGATTTGTTCTACAATTTAAAAAAAAATCTTAAAAATTTAATAGAAAATAAAAAAGTTATTCTATGTGTCAATAACGTACACCTATTGTTTTTTGATCAGGGCTATTCGGCTGTCGAGCGAACTTTGGTGAGCGATATTTGAATTCCTTGCGCTTTAATAATCATAAGACTAAATTAAGAATTTCTTTTTTTATCTGAAGGCCCACATCTCGTTCTATAATTTAAAAAAACAATCTCAAAGTTTTAATAGAAAACAAAAAAGTTATTCTATATGTTAATAACGTACACCTATTTTTTTGATGGTTGCGGACGTTTAATGATTACGAATGCTAATTTATTTACCCGCGATGACTCAGCCGATCTAATCAAAGAGCGTAGTAACTCTAAATTTATAATTGGCTATATATATAAATTCAAGGTTTTCAAGCTCAGCCCTATCTTATTCTATTATATATACTAATTTTATCTTATTAAATATAACTTTTTAAATAATTATAATAATTATAAATAATATTTTATATTTTATAATTATTTTTACTCTAATTTTTCTTAATATAAATTTTTTATTTAAACTTTCTATTAATATAAAGATTTAAAATTTAAATACTCTTCTTAGATTTTATAATTATAATTTCTAAATCGATAATAACTTTTATATTAAATTTTCTTAAATTGTAAATAATATATATTAATTTATACTTCTTAAAGACGAAAGTTATCTTATATATCTTTACTTATTTAAAATAAATCTTATAAATCTCTTTAAGAACTTTATAGTTGTATTTATTAACTTTTTATATATTAATAGATAAATACTATTTAGAAAACTCTTAATCTATAATTAAACTTTAATTTTAAAGTATTTTTTAATAAATAATACGTTAAAGAATAGAATTAAAATCGATAATATTAAAAATATCTAATCTCTATAGAGTATTAATTTTCGTAAACTTTATCGCGTTAATTTTTCTTTCTAATATAATAAATATAGCTCTATCTCTTAAAAAACTCTCGATTTATCTTACTAATAAATTTAACTTTTTTTCTCTAAAATTATAAAGTAATCTCTAGTAGAAGATATTATTAAAGCTTTTTATAATATTAAGAGATAAAAAATTAGTAATATTATCTCTACTATAGTCTTAAATTATATATATTATTTTAATTATTATTTCTAGCGTTATGTTACGAGCGTATTCTTAATATACTACTTAGCTCTATAATCTAATATCTTAACGAAGGCTTTCTCTATTATATTATATCTTCTTCTCATATATATAATTCGATAGCCTTATTATTCTATTCTATCTCACTTATATAATATATCTCTATACTAGTCCTAATATTATAATAAAGCTTCTTCGTATATTTTCCGGCGAAGGATTTAACGGGTTTTTCACTTTCTACTCGAAGTAAGCGACCGAGTCTAATAAAGAAAACGCTGGGTATTTCTATCATATAGAAACATATATTTAAATCATTAGATATCTATATTACTTAAAAGAATCTATATTAAATAATCTATATTATTAACGATAGCTTAATCTATTAAAGAACGAGTCCTCTATATTAAAAATAAGATATTCTTTTTCGCTCGTTCGCCTTCGTAATAACTCTATAATTATGAAATAAATTCTCTAGATAAAGTAATACTATTCGATAAAGTTATATTTAAAGTATTTAGAATATTAACGACGATTTAATTAATTAAGAAACGAGTGTTATAGACTCTCGTAAAGAAGTACTATTTCGAAAGTTATAGTTAAAATTTAACACTCGATATAGAGATCTATTATCTTTCTCAACTCGTATACGCCTTTATAATACCAGAATTTTAAAGACCTCTTCGTTTTAATTCGTATTTTATCTATATTTAATATATTATAAATTTCGACTTAAATCTACTTATATTAATATTAAGATATATATCTTTATATCGTCGATTATCTATATATCGCGATTATCTCTATCTTATATATAACGATCTATATAGAAGATATTTATCTTCTAACTCGCTATTACTTCGTATATTATATATATAGTAATCTCTATCTACTAAGAATCTTTATTAGCGTTATTATAGAATATCGAGTTAGCTAAAGAGAAATTAGACTTAAAAATCCGAGATATAGGATTAAAATCCGTTTAATATCTTAGTCGCTTCTTCTTCGTAGAAGATATTAGAATAGTAGAGAGAGATATAAGCCTAAAACTCGACTAACATCTCCGCCTTTTCACCTCCGTCCCTATCTTTACTTATATTACGAGATTTTTAAGTATTAAGAGTATATCGATTAATCTCGTTATAGTTAGTTAGATAATTACTTAATCTAAGACTATTAAATTTATCTATATTTAACGATATTAATAGATTTAAATTTAAGAACTAGAAAATAAAAATTATAAATAAACTTAGTCTTAATAAAGATTACTACTCTATCGACGCTTTTTAGATAAATTATATTATATCGCGTTTTAAAGAAAACGCTATTAAGTATATAATATCTAGATATTAAAAGATTATAAAAAATCTTTATCTTCTAATCGACAATCTTCTAGATTAACTAAGTAATCTTTATAAGACTCTATTAAATATTATTTAATAAAGAAATATTTATAATTATTTAATCTTTAGAAGATATAATAATTAGTTATTTTTAAATATTATATAGAGTTTATAAAATATATCGCGTATATATAGAAGTATAGCGATAAAGAATATT